ATATTTTAAAGTTATTTCTATGCATTTAGAAGATCTTTGGAGGTCATATCCACATACCTATATGTCCGACACAAAATGTCAGATACTGATACTTCAAATGAAAAGAAGAATCCAAACAACATAGAAAGAAGAAAAAGGCAGGAAAAGTTGTGTTAGTGAAACATTAAGTACCAATGCAAAGGACATAACCAAATATTTAAAGCCTCTTCACTAATGAAAAGTCAACAACCAGCAGCCATAAGCAACCAAAAGTAAATCCATCTGAAATATGACAATTAGGTAAAAACTTGGAACCATTCTAGTTAGCGAATGAAATACATATGTGGGAACTGGGAAGCAGAGGCACCTCACTCACTCATTTTTTTAAAGAAAAGAATCCCAAACATAATATAACCTTCCAAAAATCCTCGAAATATATACTATTGTAGGGTCATTCAGACCTATATCGCTTGGACTCGGAAGTGAGTAACGGATACGAGATTCTTTTTTAGGTTTGTCCATGTACTTGGAGAGTCATATCACCATACCCTCCTTATGTCGGACAATGATACTTCAAGTCAAGTTAAACAAGATATGTTTGTAAACATCTCAACAAGCATAATAAACATATATCACAAGACAATCAAGTTCAACATTTTTGAACCAAAATACATAATCCATCAAAACCCAAAAATCAAAAAGAGATCAAGAACTAGCATAAGAGTCTACTGAAGTAAAAAAACTGAAATAACCCACTTAAACGAAGAATGAAATGAACAAATCAGTAGCGATTAAACAAATAATAGAAAATAAAACAAGCATGCATGCAACAAATCTCGATTCAAAAAAACATATATGAAGTAAAAGCATCAAACCCATTAAATCAGACAAAATAGAAATCAACAAACCCACAAATATTAGAATATAGAACGAGGATTACCTGTGGAAACCCTTGATTTTTGACTCCCTCGACTGCATTGTGGTGAATGGCCAAACCGGTGGGAGGATGCAAAGACAAAAAGGGAAAACAGACAAAAATGGGGGAAGCACAGCGTGAAATTTTGTTAACTAGGGGGGAAGATCAAGCGCGCGGGAAATGATGAAAAATAAGGGGGGAATTAGAATACGACTCCTAAAGATGACACACAAAATTATCTATACTCCTTGTTTTTGTAAATTTTTTGGATTATGACTATTAAATATGACACACATAATTGTAAGTCATAAATCGTTCAGATTTTAAAAAACATGACATTTTTTTATGACACACATGTTTTGCAAGTCATAAATTAGTGTGTGTCATCGTTTGTGTGTCATTAAAGGTATATTTTCTTTTGACTAATCGTTTATTGTAAACTATTTGTAGTGTCCCCGTTAGTCGGGAGGTACCGAGTGTGGAAATTATGTTTGTAAGTTCATGAAAGAGATAGTCGAGAACGGACTTCAAGTGCTGGTCAATAAGAATGTAAGCAAACTTTTCTAATACACATCTGTCATTTCATACATACACATTAGTCATACAACTATCATATGGACTTGAAGTAGGATGATATTATTGGAAATTCATCTACGATAACATCTTGTGTATTCATATTAATAAGAATTGTCATGCCCTTTTTATTTCTGTATGGAATGGAGGTTATCGTTTATAATTTGAAACAAACTTAAAAATCTTGTGAATTTAACTTAGTGAAAGATTACATTGATGGTAAACTTCTTGTTATTTGCTTCTATATATTGATAGATTCTGTTGTAAGTAATGAGTGAATTCTTGAATCTAATTACACGTTTTAAGCATGTGGCAATCGATACTATTTTTTGATATATGAATCAATGTCTAAAGGAACAATTTGAAATGTTCGGTGGAGTTGTGAAAGCATCTGACACGTACTAGCACTTAAAATCCAAAATTTGATTTTGTCAAGTACTATAGACGTAACAGGGACTCTCTTGTGGGTATTATTTGTGATGATATTGTTGTGAACAAAGTTGGAATTTTTTATAATGCTATTGATTTTATGACTTTGCATAATGTTATTATGCTTCAAAGAATGCATAAGTAAAATTGGTTATTTTAGTACTCTTTAATAGTTCAATATATACTTCACTTTAAATAAGTATAAATTATATACTTATTTCTTATTTTTTACTTAGGTTGGCGATGGGAAAGAAGAATACACGGATGATGACATTGATGATATTCGCAAAGAATGGGTATCTTATGTGGCAAACTTTATTATGCCTTGATATTTTGTATCGACATATGATTAATACAATATTTTTTAACTTAATGTGAATATTTGTATGCAAATGGATTGCTTATATATAATATGGTACATAGATTAGTATTATGAGGCATTCAATGTGATTTAGTTTGATTATTTGTCAATCTACAATATATATATATATATATATATATATATATATATATATATATATATATATATATATATATATAAATTTCCGAAATATAATCATGACACACAAACGTTTGTGGTCTTTTTAAATGACGTGTGCATCAATGACACGCAATATAAGTCATATATGCGTGTCATAAATTTATGACACACAAATGTATGTCAAGCAGATTTATGGCAGGGGCTTCAATGACACGCAATGTAAGTCATATATGCGTGTCATAAATTTATGACGCACAAATGTGTCTCATCTTAATTTATGACGGGGGCTTCAATGACACTCAAAGAACGTCATTAATGAGTGTCATAAATGCGCATCATAGATTTATGACACACAATTGCGCGTCATCAAAAATTCATGTCGGTGGCTTCAACGACAGGCATTTATGTGTCATCCGCACCCATAGATGATGCGCAATGCGCGTCATTAAAGGGTATCTTTCTTGTAGTGTATATAACCCAAAAATGCCCAACTCCCATTAATTTTCCCCTCTCTCTCAAAATAACCTCTCCCCATCTCATTACAAATTCTCTCAGCTAATCCTCATCCCGGGTGGAAACCCAATCACCCCTCTGGTGGCCAACCGCCGTCCAAAAGCCACTGGCCGCCGCTCCAGCCCCACTGTCGGTGGCCGAAAAAAATCTAAACTCTCTGAAACCTCCCTCTCTACCCCGTAAAACTAAATCTGAAGCCCAATTTTCCAATAGAGCACCGAATCGGCGTAGATCTAAACAGATGCAATCGATTTTGTAACTCTACCGATGAAACTCTTTGTTTTTCCTGATGTGCTCCTAACGCGTACTGTTTTTTTTTTACTTTTTTGTGTTTGTGTTTGGTAGTTTCAATATTTGTGGTTCGATGGGTTTTCTCACCGATTGTTTTTTGATATGTTTGGTTCTTTGCTTTTCTATGGTCGGTTCTCTGATCTTGGTTGATGTTGCGTATTGTTGTTGGGATCGATGTTCGGTTGCTCTGTTGTTCTTGTTGTTGTGTTCCTGTGGGTTCTCTCACCGTTTGTTCTGTGTTTCTTGTTCGACCTCACTGGGGGCTTTTTATAGCCCCAGTGTTAGCTAGTTTTAGTCCTGAAATAAGGGGCTTGGCTGCCTCCGATTTTCTTGTGCATGTGTGACTGATCATCCCGGGATGGGTTAGTCCCAGGATGTTCGACCGACCGTTTCACCCTTTGACCGTTTGGCTCCCCCTGCGCATCGCCTGATGATACCACTTTTAGGGTTCTAAACCCTAACATTTACTAGGTTGGTTCAGGCCTAGTTCTTGGACTGCTTGGACCCCATTCGGACCTTTGGGCTAGTTCAGGCCCGGTTTGGTTATCTTGGGCTGCTTGGACCTGAAAAAGAACCCAAAAAATTAAATAAATAAATAATAATAATAAAAAAAAACAAATATATTATATATATTCTAAAATGTTTTCAAAATTTCAAAAGCATTTCAACTATATATTATATTTAAAACTATTTTAAAAAAAATATATAGATATTTTCAAAAATATTTTTTAAAAACTATATATTATATATATGTTTTCAAAACTATATAATATATATATATATATTCAAAAATGTTTTCAAAACTATATTTATATTAAAAATATTTTCAAAAACTATAAATTATATATATTTTTAAAATGTTTTCAAAATCTATATATTATATATATTTTAAAAAATGTTTTCACAAACTATTTTCTAAATCTATATAATATATGTTTTCAAAACGTTTTCAAAACTATATAAAATATATATTTTCGAAAACTGCTTTCTAAAAATTATATATTATAATTTTCAAAAAATATTTTCAAAATTTATGTTATATTAATATCTATATATATATATATACATATAAATAAATAAATACGGACGAAAATGACTGTCTACAAATATTATAATAAAATAGTTAATTATATTATAATAATATAAGATATTATATTTTTATTTTAATAATATATAATATATAATAAATATTATTTATTAATTTCATAGAAATAATATTATTAAATTATTAATAATGAATAATATTATTTATATATTTAATATTAATATAATAATCTAATAATATTTTAATAAAGATATTTAAAATATACTAATTAATATTTTTAAAATATAATATAACACTATTAATTTAATAAATAATTTATATAATTTATAATATTTTTATTTCAATAAAATATACCAATAATATTTTTTAATAATTATAAATAATATTTTAATATAAATAATTATTTTAATATTTAAAAATAATAATATTAATTTTTATGATAAATAATATGTTCAAAAATGTAATTCATTTTACAAAAAAACATTTTCCGAAAAACGTATCATCCTTTTTCATCCATGTTTTTTTCCCTTCATGTTCTGTTATAACTACAGTTCACAATGCGTTTTGCAGTGTTGTTTTCTTCAATAATAATGCAGAGCAGGGGAAAATGGTACTGTTGGCAAGAACAAATCTAAATCTTGAATAAAAATAAACCAAGAATTATTGGAAATGGAATGACCGAAACAAGAATCATGAACCCATTTTTCACATAAAGACATCCTATGACAAAATATATATGGATGAACTAACAGGACTAAGAATTCAATAAGTTGCTAAAATTTTTTGTTTTGATGATCTTCTTTTCGAGCTTTCTTGACGTTGCGGTGCATATCAGCAAGAAGACGGCTAGGAGGCAAAGACTCGACCTCTATTGAAAAATCGATTTGCAAAATCCTGCATGTGTTCGCTCCACTACTCGATGCCGATGGTTTCCTTTTATTGGATGGGAGCGGCTTCGGCTTCCTCGGTGCGGGCGGGCATTGTTTCATCACTGGGATTTTGTGATCCAAAGATGTTGGAGTTTTGAACCCATCATCATCGGTTGCCTTCATTTCTTCGAGTGATATCAACTTCGGATTCTTGTTTTCTTGAAGCTCCAGCGAGGATCGTTTTAGAATATCGAATTCAATCCCTTCTTCATCTTCTTCATCGACCAACAGCCTTGAATTTGACATTGTAACAAACAGAAATATTGAGAGAGAGGGGGAGGGGGAGGGGGAGAGAGAGAGAGAGCTGCGAAAAGACAAGTGAAAAGAGATATAGAGATGTAAAACAAAAAGAATAGAATCATTAAGTCACCGTCTTTATTTTCATGGAGTTCCAACCATATTAGGTTTTCTTTTCAGGTTCTTTTCTGCACTTTTGGTGAGCGATAAAGAGAGTTCTTTTCGTTGCATAGGATTCTTGAAAACCCTCCACAATATTCACCACCTACCCCACTTTGAGGCTTCGATGCTATGAATGCACGTGGTTTGCAATGCATTAGAGTCAATGGCTCAGTTCGTTGATCATGAGAACCCCACAACATATAATAGGATAATTTATGAATTTTACGATGTATTATAAATTTGAAATTTTAATATTTTAATTGACATAAAAATTATTATTATTAAGGATGGAATGAGGGCGGATGGTGACAATCATCCCAGAAAATTTAAAATTATAATACATTTTAGATTTTTTATATGTATTTTCTATTAAAAATTTATTTTCGTCCTTAAAATTTTATAAGTTCATCTCCCTAATATAAAAATCTTGTATCAGTCCCGGATTATTATTATTATTTTGTTCAAATCATTGACGATGTTAAAAGTGTTAATTAATAGATCAATGTAAAATTATAAGATAAACAAATTATAAGTCTAATCCAGATTTTGTTTATAGATGGAAATTAGTGAAAACTAATTATCATGTTGATTATAATTACACCTTTTAGAGGACATAACAACAGTTAAAGCTTCGAATTTCTAAGAATAATCACAATAATTAACTAACTAATTCTTTTAATTCTTTGATTAATTTATGGGCTCAAGAGCACTATTAAAAATATTAAGATGATCAGATTGAAGTGAGGCTAAATTCTAAAATTGGATTTTGCATAGGGACGGAAACACCAATATTATATTATTAGTAAAGCTGACATCACATGCATTGTGTATCTTCGCAAAGAGATCAACTAACTTTGACTTTGTATTAATTTGTTAGCTCAAAACCATTGTTTTTTCTCCTTTCAATTATAGGTTTCATGAATATTTATACGTATTATTTGTTGATTGCAAATGAAATATGGATCACTTTTTTCTGCACTCGTGTGATATGAAACTATGTTGAATAAATTAATCTTGCATTTGAGTCAAACCGAAATACTTAATACACGGCATTTTCTTCACCTACTCTCTCCAATGCTTAAGCCATTAGAATAACCATCTTTGATTTTTGATAGCTTTAGGCACTAGGTTGAGTACTTGACAATTTTCTTTAGATCTACAGTTTTCAAAGCAAATAAAATCAGTAATTTGGAATATCTTTAACGTATATTAAAAGATAAAGTATTGAGCATTATAGATAAGTGGTTGCTGGGATATGACGTGTTTTAGAGAAAGGAAGAAAAATAATTCTACTTGTTTAATGTAGTATTATAATTGGTTGTTATTCTTGAGGTCCTAGATTCGAGCATTATGAATGCTAGGGTGTGAGCGTTCAATGTCAAATGGTTAACAATTATCTTCAAACAAATATTACCATGTACTTACCCCATATTAATTAAAAAATATTTTATCTATTAGCATGATACTTAGAATATTGTAACAACGAAAGTGTAAGTATACACTATCGCCTACCAAGTAATAAAGTTGATGCACTTGCATGTGTAGAGTATCGTTTTCCACAAAAATTAGTGACAACTTAAGGAAATTTTGTGCAGTAAAACATAAATTTGTGTATAATTAATGTAGTAAGCAATGTCGAGACAATGTAAATGAAAACATAATAAAAAGTAAAAGGGATTACGACACAAGTATATGAAGCAAATGAGTGATTCAAGCAAAATATTATGAAAAGTTAAAAATCAACATGCAATCAACAATGTTGTTGCAACAAGATTGATGTGTCTAGAATTAATCTAGCAGGATATTCCTCTCTTGAAAGTTTTCACCCAACAACTTACAAAGAAAGATTATTTCTATAAAAATCTACACAAGATTACTAAGAATGCTACGACAAACTGTGAGCAAAAATATATTTTATGCTAAATATTACTCTCACAGAAGTTGATAATACTCACGTTGTAACTCATCTCTCAACGTAATACTGGGCAGTTCATATTTCTGTAAACATGCTATAGATGAAGTTCAAGCAACATCAATTGAGTTACTAAAGCAAAGCTAACTTAAACAAGTATTTCATCAAATATATCTTAAATAAAATATCTCAAGTTCAACATTTTATCTAAATAAAACATTCAAATTAAACAAAAATAAAGTTTCACCCTTCTGAGGTTCGAATTTAGGTTGCTAAGATGGAGCCACTACAACAAATTTGCTAATCAGTGGCTAGGGTCGTGGCTAGATTGTTGGAGGCCCTGTGCAAATTTTTGTAAATGGCCCTTAGATCTTGAACTTGCATTGTTTTTACAGCTGTATTTTTATCAAAAAGAGGAAAAAATTTACAGTTGTATTACACTGAGCAAGCCCGCTTGTATTGTTTTTCCTAAAAATAATTTTGTTTGTTAACGAGATTTGAACTTAGGATCAACAAAGTCATGGGCCCAATGATCTAACCACTACTCTATACCTATTTTTATACTTCTTAATGGCAACAACTGATAAATATACTCTATTTTGAGACCCTTTTTTTGAGGCCCTGTGTCGTCGCTCACATCGTGCTGCCTCAACCACGCCCCTGTTAGTGGCATCTAAGTTATTGTCACTAAAACTTACATTCACGTCATTAATTGTATTTTGTGACGTAAAAATTGATTTTACGACAAACGTCACCCTAGGCGTGTCACTAAATGTCAAAAGTGATGATGTTTCTATTTTCGTCTTGTATTGTTAATTATATAGTGACAATAATGGATAACGTTACCTTTTAATTTTGTATTTAGTGACAATTTTGTCACCACATGATGTGTATTTTCGTCATTGATAAATCATATCATCACCAATAGCACAATAATCTCATTGTATACATGACGAACAAAAAATTATCACATTGTTAGTGATTAGTATATAATCACCTAATAGCTGTATGAAAGACGTTTATATATAACTTCACTTTATGGTTGATATTCAATGATGTCACTAAATTATTTAAAATTTATTTATTGATAATTTATATCGTCATAGATAATACATTATAATAGACCTATATGTGATGAAAGATATATTGTCACATTTTTAGTGATGTAATACAAGTGTTACCTAATAATATTATGAATGACACTTATTGATAACGTCGCTTTATAATTTATATTCTGTGACAGTTAGTCACATCACTAAATTATATAAGATTGCATTATTAATAATTTATATTGTCACAAATAATGTATTAAAATTCACCTATATGTGACGAAAGTGATATTATCATATTTTTGGTGACGTAATATATTGTTACTTAATTTATGAATAATGATTATGCACGTCACCTTATAAAATCGTCACCAATATAATGGCAAGACAAAGAATTTTCACATTTTTAATGACAATTTATATTGATCTAAAATAAAAATAACTTAATCCATAAAATAATAAAAATTTTAAACAAATATTCTACTAAAAAACATAGTAGTTCTATTTTTCAAACATAAAAACACTTAAATATTTATGGAAAATAAAAGTAATTTGACCATAACTAATGGAATAAGTTGTAGGAATGCCAATCCAAATCTTGTGTCAGTTGTGATTCTCTTGACAATGAAGGCGTAGTGTCGTTTGAAGCTACAAATTAAAACACTTGATATTAGTTACCATGATTAAAATTATATAATATTTTTTATTTAATTAACTATATTATATACCTAAAAATTGAAGTAATGGAACTTGAATTACGACAGGTAACAAAGCAAATCTCATGGTTACTTTGTATTAGAAATCACAAAGTACACCACCCCAATGACCTCTTTAAAAAAACCTCTCTAATCCTAAGTAGAGGAAAAAGAGTAAACCTTGGGATGGAATAAGGTCCAACATGAACCCAGGAACAACAAGAAACACACCGGGAACAACACCACTAGAAAGCCCGACACAGACTACATCAAAGTAGCTACACACTACCCCTGAATGGAAAGCAAAAAGGAACTACACACATCCAAAGCAAAGAACAAAACCATGCTACAATGAAACAGTAAAGAGGCGAGACTACGAACAACTCTAAAACTCTCAAATCCAGGGAGGGTCATACCGAAACAGTGAAACTGATTTCTACTAGCTTTGCCCTTACATGAACCTTTTACTAACACAGAAAAACTCGCCCATTATAAACTACCGAGAGCTCAAAGTGCACAAAACTTAAAAACATATTCTCTACCAAAACTGAGAAAGCAAACGCCCAGATCCACACCCACGCCAAGCATTGCCCACGCTTCATATTTCAATCTCCATCCGATCAGCAACGAACTCCTTCGAAGAAAAACCACGATCAGTCACACCCCTACTGTCAACAATGCACCACTACCGACTCCACAAAATCTTCTTCATTCTATTTAAAGCAATTATTGCAAACATTAATAATACCACTCATGATAACCCAGGTTGGAATGCTGGGATTGCTCTACTAACACCCTGCATGAAATTACTAAAAAGCCTCGCCCAATTCTATATTTAACATCTGAGGCCCACCACATGCATCACCAACCTAGATATAATGTCCAATAGAAACAAATATCAGAGAATCAATCTTATTCCCTCAATCGGCTACCGTCCTTTCCACCTCAACATAGATTCAAGATCTCATTCAAGTAATGCACAATAGAGTTAGCTTAGCTTTCATATAATGCATAGTAGATTCAATCATTAGAGTTAGAGACCCTACTTTAGAGATAAAACATCTAAGCCTTAGGTAGGTAGCACTTGACATAGATCATGCATGTACCTAATGCTTAGTACCAGGTCTTTATAATGCATGGGTTATGAATTCTTATGCCACTCTAGATTAGCAATTATAATGTTTGGCTTTGTAAGATCAACCTTCGGATGTTTTTCGTTTTCATGTTATTGGCTTGAGCAATTCGTGAAGCACCATCGTAGTAGGACTTCCAGCACCTCCTGCA